AATTTAAAACAAAAGTAAATAAATTAAAATTGCGATGAAAATTTTATTTAGAAAGGCCATGCAACACGTGTACAGAGGATACCTTTGAGCCGTCTATCTTCATGACCAGCGTCCATCCACTACTTCCACATATATCGTCAGACAAGTGACAGTAAACCTTCATATATTTCCCGTCAATCAAGAAGGTGTAATCCATGTTTTTAAGATAGCTACAAAGAAAAGATGAATATTAGTTTTGCTCAATGCATATTGAATATTATGTGGTACTATTAACAAAAACAATGAAATTCCAAAACAACTGGATTCTATTTTATAAGGTGTTTATTAATTCATTTAGCACATGTTCGACACGTGACACTCTAAATTGGCWGCCGAATTAAACAGCCAGGCTGATCGGATGGTGCGTGTTTTCCCGCGTTTTCCCGCGTTGTGCTTGCTTCTTGACTATCCAAACCCTTAGATGGTCGAAGTTTTGTTTCTAGGATTTCAAATAAGATTTCCTTTGCCTAAAATTTCTTCTCATATCTTATTTATGTTTTATGAAATGGTGACTTACGTCGTCTTGGTGCGAATGTCCAAACACGACTTAACTTGAACTGGAATAAAAGGCATGCAATTGGATGTCCATTAGTTTCGATGTTTTAGGGTAATGACGTCTTAGTGCAATTGTAAAGGCTTGTGGGGCTGAAATTTGGGACAAAATCAAAGAGCTTCTCCATCTTGTGTTGCGGCCCACAATCTGCTTMAGCGTGGGAAATTTTGAAATCAAAGATTGGATAGAAGTGGTGCACTCTCCTCTCACCTATAGGTTCTCGAGTTCGATAGGACATGGCATCACATATGGGTAGAGTTTGATACTGAGATCTTTCTCTTGATTGAGGATTTTCCCCCGGGTTCTTTTAGTTGTTTTCGTCCCTTTAYAAAACCCCACACAATAAATTTCGATCCGATCTGTGATTAAGCCCTGTTAGTCTAACCTATAGATCAGACCAGGGGTTGTTCCAGGGTATATATCAATACAATTGTAGGGTTGTTGGTCTGGACTTGGGTTCGAGAACAAAAACATCAGCCTTCTTTCATTCCCACAATCCCATGCACAGCAAGTTTGTTACCCGTTTTCCTTTGAGCTTTTGAAAGGCAAATGTTTACGTCGTTTATTGTATTACATACCCTTCCACCATGCACAGTAACCACCTTCGTTGAATACATTACATATACAGCGATATCGGCGGSCATTGTCAGCTAGCACACACCTCGCACCGTTTCTGCAATTAGAYTTACCRCACGGATGGGGGGTCACGTTTTCCTGTCCATGGTTAATCAAACAAAAACTTCAGTTCTAGAAAAAACAGCACATGATCATGATCATTGATCATAATCGACATCAGTATCTTTACTATCACGATCAACATAAGCATCATCATTAACATCATCACTATCATCACCGTCATCATCATCACCATCACTATCATCACCATCATTATCATCACCATCATCACCATCACTATCATCATCATCATTATCATCATCACCATCACTATCATCACCATCATCATTATCATCATCACCATCATCACTATCATCACCATCATCATTATCATCATCACTATCATCATTATCACTATCATCGTCATCATCATCACTATCATCATCATCATCACTATCATCATCATCATCACCATCATCATCACCATCATCACCATCATCATCACCATCATTATCACTATCATCATCATCACCATCACGATATTTCTAATTATAATCATCTCATAAAAATCAGTTAAAATACTTCTGAACGAATCCACTCGAGCCAATTCTGCACTTTCCTTGACCAATTATTCTGATAAGACATTTCTACTATGTATATGGCAATGAGATACTTTGAGATTATATATTTCACCTTGATTGCGTATATATGCATGTAACCAGGCCTTTCTTTTATATCCAGCTCATCTTTTGATATAAATATCTYTTCGCTCAGCTCGCAAAGGTGTTTGGGATAGCCATCTATTTGGTAGTTGACTGACTGACACTTTGAATCTTCTAGACATGTAGAAGTACACGTTATCGAGCTGTCCACTTGAAGGGTCTTGAATATCTGGATATTTGCAAAGCCTTAAAAACGATAATTAAAAATATTTTAGTTAAAAAACTTAATAAACTTGTGTAAGTATTTCAGCTTCGTAACCAAATGTCGTTATTGCAACGTTAAGAAAAAAGCATAAAAACCACGATTAGGAAAAAAAAAGTTAAACTTAAAACTAATTGAATTTTTTTAAGAGTGATCTTTGGTCCTCGATTTGTGATACTAATTTTRAATTCATTTGATGTTTATTTATGAAATTTTGTTTGCAATTACTTGCATAGCATTTTGCTAAAAGTGTGTCTTATAAATTATGTTAACTTTGCGAGGAAAAAAAAAAGAAAAAAGGAAAACAAAAAGAAAAATATATATAAAAAATAGGAAGAAAGAAAGAAAGAAAGAAAGAAAAAGAAAAGAAAAGAAATTCAGAGCTGAAAACTAAGAAGGCCGTGTTTTCCATCCTATTTTTTCTTCATATCTTACCTTCGATGTTAGAAAACAGTCCAGTTCTTATTTCGTTCTCGCGTGTTGGAAACGTCGGGATATTTTGGCTCGAAACGGCACACAAATCAAAATTAATAAAGATACTCAAAAACRCCCAAAAGCTGGATCCTTTCATGATACTAATTAAAGAAGTTGACTATTACAATATCATTTCCATAGTATGAACATAACTTTTTTCGCCAAGAAAGAAAATAAAGTCGAAATYACTTGAGCATTTCCATAAGTGTGATCTAGTGAGCCACTAAATTCATCATGAAGCTAATATCAGTAATGTTCTTTGGAAAGTTCATTGAGTTTTTGGTTGCCGTGGAAAACATCACTCGCCTCGTTTATTCAATGACAAGTGTCAACTTTGTGAAGGAAATTTCATAGCTCTAAAATACTGCTTCAAAGTGGCTAASTAACTGGGGGCAAATTAGAAATTGCTGGTTTTCGTTCATTCCCAAGGGAGTGAAATAACAAAAGACACGGCGGCCATGTTGGTTGATATAACAAAAGAATTCATTGACAAGTCTTTCGTTAAATCCAACCAAGATGGCGGCTATGACGTCATTGCAAACGAAGAATAACTGTCATCAGTTGAATTTAACAATATGATGCTCTAGATCATATTTTCCCCCAGTTAAAAGAATAACTCCACTTTTTCGTGAAAATACGAAGAAAATATTTAAAGGATCTGACTGTTCCTTGCCGACTAAAAATCAGAAGTGTAGCAAGAAATTAAAAAAATAAGGGAAAATGGAATATATAGGGAGTTTGAATTATTATATTTTTATTGTTTATAATCAAAAATAACCAGGACCACACTTCCAGACATCGAGTGCTGAACCGTCGTCTGGACTTAAGGCTACGCTGGAGATTTCGTGTTCGACCCCAACAGCGCTATCCCGGGAGAAATAACAGACTGATCAGGAAGCTCGGCACCTCATGAATCGATTATATCAATGAGGACTAAGCTSCCATTGACAATCCTTTCCATGTGGGATGCATTTTGGGAAACAAGCAGTGTCGTAAAATTGATATGAAAATGCCGAAAATCAAGATCTTATTATCCTTCTCAAAARGCATTGAGACATTTATTGATAAGAAAAGAAAAGGAAAACGTTGTAATCAAGAAATGAAAAATGTAATTATGAAGAATTAATATTAATTGCAAGACTTTTGTAAGCATGCGTACAAGAACTCACTATGACAACAGTAAAAAAAACCAACGCACATCAGATGCAAATCCAAATTTGCAGTTGCTTCATATGTCAACTTTGGTGCTAGTTTGAAGTTTCATTACTGTTATGTTGAAATAGTARTTAGCCAAAAAGTCACGACAACTATTTTAATATATTTAGCTGGTATGCAAAATTGAAATTGAAAGATATTTTAGAAAATTAAACCGATTTTGAGAATACATATGTTTATAGTTACCATGCTAACGCCTAGTCGGCTGAAACGTAAATCTTTTTTATTCCATCTGTAATTTAACGTAATTTAGATATTTTTGTCTTGTGTCTTAGTTACATAGAAGTTATTACTTTTTTTTATTATATCTTCAAGAAGTTCAATATTTGTTCATATTGATTTATGCTTCATTTGATTAGGATATRCCCAGAGGCAACAATCAGTTTGTACCCAACACTGCATTGGCTTTGACAGAAGTTACCACATGACGTGTTTCCTGATTCGTACGGAAGACCAAATCCTATCCAGCTATCAGGCGTCTGGCAGTCTGATTCCACGTCCCCTTGAATTCCTATCCTCGCTCGCTTAACGCTAAAGCCCTCGGTATTACAACTGGTTTGTAACGATGATCCACCTATCAGAGACAGCCATTTCTCTCGACCAATAGAAAAATTGCGATAGGTTTTGTCAGAAAAGATGTCATACAAGGAATTAAGGAGCAGGAAACGGGATAACAGCCCAGTTCAAGTTGTTCCCGACTTTCATACCAACACACAAGCTCTGGAAAGGCATAACCCAGTAGCTGGGCATCTTGGTCTCGTGATTGTCAAAACCGGTTTTACCTGCTGATAGTCCATACGCCTTCTTGTTGGACCACAAGGCCGAGCCATAAGCGAATGTGTTCTGGGGGGRAAAAGGTTGGATATTTTATTGATTCATCAATCCTTCACAAATCGGCTATCACATCCTCATTGGACATGATTCTTTATATATTTATATATTTCCTCTCCTGTTAACCGTTAAACAAAGAAACCATTCTCAAGAGAATGGCAAATGGTCTGACAGGAAAAACATTACGCCCGAAGTAAAAGGGTTTACTAGTGTAAGAAAGTAGTTACCTTTGAGCCATCGATCTTCATGGCCAGCGTCCATCCTCCACCTCCACAAATAAGATCATCATTCAAATGACAGTATATATCGACCTCCTTTCCACCAATGGTATACGTGTATGGGATATTTTTACGATAGCTAACGAAGCGTAAGCAAGGAGTATGTACATAAGGTTAATTCAATAACTTTGAGCAGTTTCAATTTTTTTTTATCGCCGACAAAAAAATAAATAACTCCAAAGTCTAACTGCGAAAAATGATTTCTGGGTCCAAAACGGAAAGTATTTCTATAAATATTTTTCTTGACTTTTTCTTCATTCAGGATTTTTAGTCCAAAGCTCTAATTGTTTCAGTTGGATGTAAATTAATCAATGAAAACAAGGTCGTTGAAATTGATTTATGTCAAATATAGCATTCTAATACGAGATTWAAAAATATATTTCACCTAGCAGAGTGTATAAAAAAGTATTTGTCTTATGTCAGGGCGTATAGCTTACCTTGTTGAAGTATAAATATCAGCACACGATTTAACATTAACTGTTAGGAAAATATAAAAGAATTAATATAAGTAATGAGAATTCATGCTGTACAACTTATCTTGAGTGAAAAAAATTGCGAGGACAGCCAAAATTACAGGGATAAGGTCGTGTTAGTATTAAATCACATAGACAGGGGTGAAAAACGCGCTGCGCATGCTCTGAAGTTCGGCGGGAAATTCGTAGACGCGTCGTGTTTACCAATAAAACCATTGGAGATTTACCGTAAACACGACGGTTCTACGATCGYACTTCCCGCCGAACTTGAGAAAATGCGCAGTGCGTTTTTTACTCATTTCACTCACATAGTAACATACCTGTCCATAAATTGCAGTCAATGCCTTTGTTAAACGAATTACATATACAGCTATATTGACGAGCGTTCTCCTCCAGCACACACCTTCCACCATTCTTACATGTAGCTTTACCACAAGGATGGGGATCCACATATTCCTGTTATCAGAGAAAACACCGAACATGGAGTTAGTWTTCTCATTTAAGGGTTTCTTGAAGTTTTTGGTTTACAAGCTTKCAAACATGGTGCGTAATTTGGGAGGCTCTGGAAGACGTTTCTACTTAATAACATCACTTGCATCACAGGAAAAGAAAATACCTTGATTGCGTATATATGCATGTAACCAAGCCTTTCTTTTATATCCAGCTCATCTTTTGATAGAAATCTCCGTTCGCTCAGCTCGCAAAGGTGCTTGGGATAGCCATCTATTTGGTAGTTGACTGACTGACACTTTGAATCTTCTAGRCATGTAGAAGTACACGTTATCDRGCTGTCCACTTGAAGGGTCTTGAATATCTGACGTCTGGCAAAACCTTTGACAATAAAAAACAGCGATTGAAAAGAACAGATGGTATCGAGCTCATATTAAATAGCAGAGAGAAAATAACTCAACGTTGAAAGAACTAAAAAAATCAGACCTGCCTAAATAAATAACGGTAAAGCTGAAGCGAGACGTAAAGAATCAATATTATAGAGTTTTAGATTTACGTTCACGGCAAACGTGAAACGTCAGTTGACCAGTAAAAAATTCTTTTAAATGACTGAAAAAGAATCGCGAAAAATTCCAAGTAGTAGAAAAACAAAAGAATATTTGTCTTTGGTGAGAAGGTTTGTAAAAGGTAAAGTAAAACACAGGAAAACGATGAAAACGTGGTCACGTTTGCCGTTTGCGGGGAGAAAAWAAGTCAATCTAAAACTCTCTAATCCCCTTCACACTTCTCTGCGCCATCTTGAAAGGTAACCGTGCCTATTCATCGATAGAGACATGTGAATATATATATTTTTATTCATTCATTTATTTTTAATTAATCAATTAATTTGTTTTATTTATTTTTTCCTAAGCGCGCGCAAATTTGTTTAATTTGATGCGCGCGCACATATGCCATGGTTTGATCGCGTTTTCCTTTGTCAATATGTAACGTTTTTCATTTCCCTGAGGATGGCCGAGTATGCCGAAAGCTCGGAACATATGTAATAAATCTATGGTTGATAAGACAATTTATCATGAATGTAACAACAACCAACAAGGAAATATTTGATGTGAAAACCTGTYCAAGGTGTTAAAAAAGGTCTCTATTATTGCAAGTTTAAGCTCACCGTTCGTCTCACTTCGATGCATAGGCAYGGGTGCCTTTCAAGATGGCGCAGCCGAACTGTGAAAGGGACTATTCGAAAACAATTGAGTTTTATTACAACTTTCCTTTAAAGTTTTCTCGATATAAATAAGTCATTACAAACCCTTTTCTTTTCGTCAATTYAATGTCAAACAATTGATCGAGAAACAAAGAAACTATTAGTCACTACTATAAAAATTCGTTGCTGTACAAAAAAGTTTGAAAACTCTTTGAAGTGGTAGAAAAGAAGGCCGAATCTATAATCTTGAAGCCAGTTGAGTGTGACAATAAGTGACAATTCGAAATCCGGCGGTCCCGGTCATGTCTTCGACATGAAAATCATCAAAACTCGATCCCAATCTAGTCCTTGAATAATTCGATTAATAAACTCGGTGTAAAAATCTCACAAAACCCTTACCTTGAATGCTAGAAAATAATCCAGTTCGTATCCCTTCCTCTCGAGTTGGAAACGATGATATATCCTCGCTTGAAATTATGTCGAAGCCGTACACGAAAACCCAAAAAATTAACCAAATTAAGCTTACTTTTCCCATAGTTCGCCGACTATATATCAATTAGTATCTTCTATTCACCTTTTCGAGTTCTAAATATATTTATATTCTTCTATTATTCAATTTTTCGTTATTGTTCAGCGGTCCTGTTAACTAATTTCCCCTAGAAATGAATCTCGACTGCCAAATCGCACCTAGGATGGAATGTTTTTATTGTTAGTCGAGAGGACTGTTGACCAGCGTTTTTTCATTAGGGAGGTCAGAATTCAAGATCTTACACTCAAAAGCCTTTTATCTTTAAAGATAAATTCTCTTAATTTACCCTCATACATTAGCCGACGACATTTGTCAACTAGAACAATGCTAAAAATAAAAAATCTATTTTTTCCTAAAGTAGTATATTTTGAAGTTTACGATGCTCTACGACCCCCTCATTTGTGTATTGCTTTTGTTTTAATGAATCATTGGCTTCGAATTTATATCAAAATTTGAGAGACTCTTTGACAGTCACCTTGCTTACATACATACTGAGTGTTGTCAACCGGCTTTCCACTATTATTCAGAATATATTAAACTATATCTAAGATTTGCTCTCAACAGACTGTTTTTGTTTTGGGAGTAAAGTGGGAGCTAGGATTTGCCTTTTTTGAACAAATAACCATTTAGACATATTTCTAAACGAATTGTGTCGCTTTTTTGGCCAAGTACACTGTTCTTGAAATAAATATA